CTGTACTGCCAGCACACTTCTAGGGCATTGGGTTCTATCCTAGGCCCTCACTTTGAAAGGTACATAACAAAATAACACAGATCAAGAACTGGAAGTTCTGGAAAGTAAAGGAATTAAAACATTGATTCACATGGTAATGGTTAGAGAACCACACCTCTGGAGTGCTGTCTTTAAATACCTGAAGGGTTGTCATGTGGAAGAGGAGTTAGATTCAGGCCATCACAGGGAATGTTTATGGACTATGTATGCACTTTACCATAGTCACTAAGTTTGGATGGAGAATACAAAGAGGAGCAAGGCAGTCTCTGCCTTCAAGGCCAAGTTTACCATCAGAGGAGATGCACAGAGATGGCTGTAAAATAGTAACACTTACTTTATGGTTCTCCAGAAAACAGAAATGAGACAGACTTCAGCTCAGTTTGGACAGGCCCTTCCAGCAATTACAGAACAAACCCATTGCCGTCGAGTCAATTCCAACTCATAAAAGCTGTACCCAAATGAAATGGGCTGCCCTGAAAACTAGTCATCAGTCATGTTGCTCAACTTTTGGGGATGAGCTAGAAGAGATGGTTGGGGCTTGGAGCAGATGGCCTGTCTAGATCCTTTCTACCTCTGTTGGTCTATGGTTCCAAGACTACCAACTTGCTTTCTTTTGCTTCTCTAGAGTTACTACCATATTAAATGCTCACTTGTTGTACTCATTGTTCTGGGCAAGCCACACTGGAAAGAGTGTTAAATTGCAGGGCTACAGCTTGGAATTGCATTGGTGGGTTTGTCTTATGGAAACGCAAGAGCAGATAGGCAGTAGCTCCTGTTGTTCTTACTCATTGACCTGATAGAAGAATTTAGTGGCCTGTTCAGCAGGAACAATCTTGTTGCTGGTTGCTTCTTCTGTTTGTTGGTTTGCATCTGGTCATGAGGTTCATGTCGTTCCTTTTGAGTGTCATAATACTTTATTCCTTAGGACAAGTATCCTGAGGAAAGTCCGTTTCCCATGCCCCCAACCCTCCAGGAACCCAGATAGCACACAGAGATTAGCTGTCAAGACAGGGGCTTCTAAATCTTCCCTTTTGAAGGCATAACTTTAGAAAAATTAGATTTCTATTATTTTGGATTCCCTAAATATCCTGCAGAAGCCCTGGTGGCACAGTGGTTAAAGCAATTGACTACTAACCGAAAGGTCGGAGATTTGAAACCACCAGCAGCTCTGGGGGAGAAAGATGAGGCAGTCTGCTTCTACAGAGATTTACGGCTTTGGAAGCCCTACGGGATTGCTGTGAGTCGGAATCGACTTGATGGCAGTGGGTTTGGTTTTTTGGTAAATAGTCCTCAGTCCTAGAAAACATGTAAGTTGCATTTTGACTTCACACAGAAGGTTTATCTGGCAAAGGCAGCACCCCTTCACGGTCACTGAGGCAAAATGTTTTGGCAAGTCCACTCTGGTCCTGCCGTCTTTCTGCTACCACATGGCCACTGTCACCAATTCTCACTCCCCTGCTATTCATGTAATATGATTGTAGAGAAGGTAGACATGGCCTCTTTTCCTGGTAAGCACATTCTAAGGGCCAGAAAGGCAGATACTACCTGGGTTTGGCATCTCTCTTCAATGTTCTTCGTGTGTTTTACCGTGGTTTATTTCTTTGATACATTTTTCCCCAGGTGTGTCAGGGATGTGGATGGACATTTGAAGGATGTGGAGATGAGACACTGTATTTTTACACAGATACCACCTCCTTCTATGTTTGGTTGCCAGCCGCTCCCTCCGCTCGTGAGGTATTTTCATAAGCATGCTATGCTGATTTTTTATAGCAATATGTAAAAAAAATTGCATAGTGGAGCTTATGAAAATACCTCACGGGGTAGGGGCGGGGAGTGACTGGCAAACAATCATAGAAGGTACACGTTATTTGCATAAAATAGGGTAGTAGCTTGAGGGAGCAGAAATGCCACCCATCTCCTCAAACTTGCTACCATTACTCCATGCAAAGGAAACAGAAATTCTTTCTGAAAAGTTGAAATCAGATCTAAATGTGAAACCCCACAGCTGCTTTGGCTCCAGGGTTTGTGGACGTTTCAGTCGTCCTGGAAGATACTCTTCCCTTCCAGGAATTTTCTCCCCTGGGTGAGTGAGAGTTGAGCCAGCCCCAGGCTTTCTCGACATCACATCAGATGAATGGAGCTGAGCAGCCAAGTTACCTGGTACCCACAGTGGGACACCCCTGGAATCTCAAGCGTTCTTAGCACTAACAGCCAGTTGGAGCCAGCCTCACCTAGAGGCTTTAAAAATGCTGATGCATGGGTTCCACCCTCCAGAGGTTTTTTTTTTTAGCTGCTTTGTATATTTCATACACCATGCAGTTCACTCACTTGAAACGTACAATTCAATGATTTTTAAGTATATTCACAGAGTTGTGTAACCATTACCACAATTTTAGAACATTTTCAGCAGTTACTTCCCGTTTCTCCTCAAGCTCCTAGCCTTTTGTTGTTAGTTGCTGTTGAGTTGACTCTAATAGCAGCCCTGTGTGTAACAGAACGAAACATTGCCCAGTCCTGTGCCATCATCACAATTGTTGCTATGTTTGAGCCCATCGTTGCAGCCACTGAGTCAATCCATCTAGTTGAGGGTCTTCTGCTTTTTTTGCTGACCTTCTACTTTACCAAGCATGATGTCCTTCTCCAGGTCCCTCCTGATAACATGTCCGAAGTCTATGAGACAAAGTCTTGCCATCCTTAATTCTAAGGAGCATTCTGGCTGTACTTCTTCCAAGACAGAATTGTTCGTTCTTCTGGCAGTCCATGATATAGTCAATATTCTTGGCCAACACCATAATTCAGAGGCATCAGTTCTTCTTTGGTCTTATTCATTTTCCAGGTTCATTGTTCTGGTAGTCTCTGATATGTTTAATGTTCTTCGCCAACACCATAATTCAAATGCATCAGTTTTTCGGTTTTCCTTGTTCATTGTCCAGCTTTTGCATGTATATGAGGCAATTGAAAGTGCCATGGCTTGGGTCAAGCACACCTTAGTCCTCGAAGTGACATCTTTGCTTTTTAACACTTGAAAGAGATCTTTTGCAGCAGGTTGGCCCAGTGCAATATGTCATTTGATTTCTTGACTGCTGCTTCCATGGGTATTGATCGTGGATCCAAGTAAAACGAAATCCTTGGCAACTTCAGTATTTTCTCCATTTGTCGTGATGTTGTTTATTGGTCCAGTTGTGAGAATTTGTGTTTTTTTTAATGTTGAGATGTAATCCATACTAAAGGCTATAGTCTTTGATCTTCAGCAGTAAGTGCTTCAGGTCCTCTTCACTTTCAGCAAGCAAGGTTGTGTCACCTGCATATCACAGGTTGTTGATGAGTCTTCCTCCAATCCTGATGCTGCATTCTTCTTCATATAGTCTAGCTTCTCAGATTATTTGCTCAGCATACAGATTGAATAGGTATGGTGAAAGGATACAGCCCTGACACACAACTTTCCTGATTTTAAACCACTCAGTGTCTGCTTGTTCTGTTCGAAAGACTGCCTCTAGGTTTATGTACAGTTTCCCCATGAGCACAATTAAGTGTTCTGGAGTTCTCATTCTTCACAATGTTATCCATAATTTGTTACGATTCACACAGTCAAATGCTTTTACATAGCCAGGAAAATACAGGTAAACCTCTTTCTGGTATCCTCTGCTTCCAGCCAAGATCCATCTGACTTCAACAATGATATCCCTCATTCCACATCCTCTTCTAAACCTGACTTGAATTTCTAGCAGTTCTCTGTTGATATACTGCTGCAACCATTTTTGAATTATCTTCAGCAAAATTTTCCTTATACAATATGTGGTCTTTTGTTACTGGTTTCTTTCACTTAATGTTTTTATATTGTAACATGTATCAGTACTTTGTTCCTTTTTATGTCTGAATAATATTCCATTGTACATAATACTACATTTTGTTTATCCATTCCTCACATGATGGCCATTTGGGTTGTTTTCCACGTTGGCTATTATGAATAATGCTGCTGTGAACAATTGCTGTTAAGTTTTTTGTGTGATGCATCTTCTCATTTCTCCTGTATATATACCTAGGAGTAGAATTGCTGGGTATATGGTACGTCTGTGTCTAACCTTTTGAAGAACTGTCAGACTGTTTTCCAAAGCAGCTGCACCATCTCATAGAGGTACTTCTTAACAGCTCCCCATGGTGATTCTAGATGGGAGTCTAGTGTGCTGCCAGCAGTGAGAATCTTCATTCTGTTTCACTTGGAAGTAAAATAACTGCAGATCAGATTTCAGCATTTTACCTGAAGGAGAGAATATTTTTAGAGCACAACATCCACCCCTTCCAAGTTGTTCTTTGCCCCATCCCTCGGCTGTCACTAGTAGACCAGAGTTAACCTGGCCATCAACCAGGGGACTAGTCAGTCTAACACGAGGGGATTATCTAGTGTCCACCTATAGCGTGGGTCATCTACAAAGAGTTAAACAGATCTGGAAAGCTGATCTGTGGGTGAAGCAGGGAGCAGGGCCGTGGGTATGTAATCCCCACTCTGATGATGTGACATCTCTTCTTGTAAGTGTCATCACTTTCTTGGTGCAATCTGGTAGAAACATGAGTCATGAGGTGCCGACAAAAACCTAGTGCACTTAATGTGAAACTTGAGGCATTCTGCTCATTGCTGAGATATATTCGCGTTTGTCAGCCCTGCGTTCAGATGGTAAACAACTAACTGGGGATGAAATTCTGTCACTGTGATGTTTCCCTGCTTGTCTGAGAGAGCCATAGGCCCGGACGGTGTGCCTCAGAGTCTGAGGACGAGGGAGGGCTGCCTGGTGGTTTTACTCCAGGATTGAGCAGCCTGCCCTGCATATGGAAGGAGGCAAAACCCAAATATTTCTGTCCTTGAGTCTTTTAAAAAAACATTCCCTCCTGGTTGCAGATAAACATTTCCAAATGGCAGCTCTGAGCCAATCCCGAGCCTTGTTCTCTCTTCCTTGTGTTTTCAGCCACGGCACGGGGTACGAGAGCGATAACCATACCACACCCATCCTCTGCGGCGCCCAGTACAGAATACACACCCATGGTGTCTTCAGGGGCATTCAGGTGAGTATCTCGAGGATGCTGCAGCTGGAAGCGGACTGCACTGCCTCTTTCCCTTCCCAGCGGCCCTTTAGTTTCTTATTGATGGACCGTTTGGCACAGGCAAGCCTGTTCCTCATTATAGGCGCTTGTGACATCAAGGATCCCTCTTCTTCCATTCAGATAAGCTGGCTTCCTTCTCTCCTAGTGGCCAGTGCAGTCACCACTGCCTGCCTAACTCAGATCAAGATGCTTCCTGCAGAATGCTCTCCTTCCTCCTTCACTGCTTAATTCACCTTCTCCGTGGTGGGCTGCACAGCTCTTGTATATGGGCTAATTGGGCTTGACTTAATAATCTGGACCTTTGACTTCTAAGATTTGGTCTGCATTGTAGAGTGCCTAAAGGTAGATTCTATCTTACTGCATGTTGATAATAGTAATACCATCTATGGCTGGGCACTTTTTATATTCCAGGCATTGTGCTAAGTTTTATACGTGGATTTTTTTTTCGTTTAATCCTCAATACACCGTTATGAGATAGGTACAGTTATTATCCTCATGTTATGTAGATGAAGACACTGACGCCCTGAGGAGATGGATGACTTGTCCAAAACCACGTAGCTAGTAAGTGGGGGAGCTGAGACTTACGTACGGCAGGTCTGTCTGACTCTAGAACCCTTGTTTTTAACTAGCATGTTTTACTGCTTCCTGGGGAGACATAGAACTGTGAACATTAGGGAGGTCTCCAAGGAGAGTGAAGAAAGTAAAAAGGTAAAAGTTTGAAAGAATTCAGGAAACTCAGCAGAAAGCCATCTTTGCAGAGCTTCTTTGGAGTGGTCAAAACACATGCAATTACCAAGAGTTTGCATTTGTGACTTATGTGTGTGATTCAGGGGCTGCAGCACGAGTAACAACCGTGATACTTTCACCAGAATAGTGCCCTAGAAATAAGTTGTGTGTGGGCCAGACCGCAGCATGATATGTGGGGCAGGAGGCTCTGAGATGTTCTGATTAATGTCTCCAGCAGTGTCCCATGGTGCTAGAACAGCGTGCTCCCACATCCCAAGCCTTCCAATGGTGAGAAACAAAGGCAAGGGTTATAAAAATACAGAAATCTGATGGAGGTTCAGAACAAGTCATCCAGTTTCTCCCCCTAAATACCAGCAAGATCCTCAACCAAGACTCTGACTGACATTAACAACTTCATTTTATATCCTGTTGCCATGTGTGCTGCACTTAGGGTGAATCAGAGGAAATGGAAAGTGTTTCCTTTGCCCTCCTGCCCACCAGGCCCAATTTGTCAGACTCACCATCATGGCCTCTGGTGAACTCCAGACTGGACGGATGTCATTTCACTACCTGCTCCTTTTCTCCCAGAGTGTATTAAATCAAACACAGCTGTCTCACCATTTCATTTTTATGCCACCATTTGTCGAGAAAAGGAGTCCTGTTGGTGTAGTGGTTAAGAACACAGCTGCTAACCAAAAGGTCAGCAGTTCAAATCCACCAGCCACTCCTTGGAAACCCTATGGGGCAGTTCTGCTCTGTCCTACAGGGTCACTATGAGTCAGAATCAACTCGATGGCAATGGGTGTATTTGTCCTGAGACACTATGGCCTATCAGTAGCAAAGCAGTATGTCACTGCAGTGCATTTTTGAAAAAAAAAAAAAAGAATATAATCTCATCATGCAAGGCAGTGTGAACTAGAAACTGGAACATAGCATGGGGATAGAATGGAAAATGTGCAGGGCCGGGTGTCAGTTAAGCTGAGACATGGTTCCAGCTCTTTAACACAAAACAAGGATTTGCTCTTGTATCAGCCTTTCACCCTCTTACGCCCGAGTCGCACATCTGTAAATGAATGGGTAGGATTTAATGGCACTCCTTGGAAACTGTATGGGGCGGTTCTACTCTGTCCTATAGGGTTGCTGTGAGCGGAATCAATTTGACAGCCACAGGTTTTTGGTTATAAGCACCATCATGATAAATGGAGAAAAGATTGAAGTTGTCAAGGATTTCATTTTACTTGGATCCACAATCAACACCCATCAAAGTAGCAGTCAAGAAATCAAAAGATGCATTGCACTGGGCAAATCTGCTGCAAAAGACCTCTTTAAAATGTGGAAAAGCAAAGATGTCACCTTGAAGACTAAGGTGCATCTGACCCAAGCCATGGTGTTTTCATTCGCCTCATACACATGCGAAAGCTGGATGATGAATCAGGAAGAGCAAAGAAGAATTGATGCCTTTGAATTGTGGTGTTGGCAAAGAATACTGAATATACCATGGACTGCCAAAAGAACAAACAAATCTGGAAGAAGTACCAGAATGCTCCTTAGAAGCAAGGATGGCAAGACTACGTCTCACATACTTTGGACACGTTATCAGGAAGGATCAGTCCCTGGAGAAGGACATCATACTTGGTAAAGTAGAGGGTCAACAAAGAAGAGGAAGAGCCTCAAAAAGATGGATTGACACAGTGGTTGCAACAATGGACTCAAGCATAACAACGATTGTGAGGATGGCGCAGGACCAGGCAATGTTTTCTTCCGTTGTACATAGGGTTGCTAACAACAACCACAACAAAGGCACTTCCAGGGTCTAGGTCTGTGGTTCACTGATCTTGAGAACTGGAAGCGGAGCTTGCCTCTCCATTTCTCTCTAGTTCCTTTTCATGGAGGACTGACAGAAAACACACAGCACTCTCCCCAGATGAAAGGGGATCAAGAGAATGTCCTGTGAGGGACATGTAAAGTGCATGAAAGGCAGATGGATTCCACAGCACTCCCCGGTGTCAGTATTAAATGGATTGTACTAGCTACACCATGGACTTCTTTCATCTCCCCTTCACAGACAGAAACCCCAAATCTCAAGGGCTCTTTCTTCTTTTACTTACATACAGAGGGTCTGGTCATTTGGGGGCTCCTTCAGCATCCCGTATTTTTCCCTATAATAAAAACTTCCCCATCCATTGCAGATTGGGTCCATTGCAGACCAAGGTCATGTGGTCATGTCTGCAAGTGGGAGGTAATAGAATTGAATCTGGAACTTGGGACTTCCAGACCTCACTGCTTCAAGTAGAGAAGCTGAGAGATAGGAATAACTGGGAGCTCTTCCAGTCACCAGCATTTGTTGTCCAGATGATCTGGGTTCAGCAACCCCAAATAACCTTTATTTCATGTACCAGTGTTGGTTGATCAGTAGTGATGATGTCAGAGCACTGTACTGTGGAGTTTCCTGATCTATCATCTATTAGTAATGTCTGCTGTGAGCATCTGGGCTGTATTGGGGAATAGTTTTAGGCCACATATCTGCCATCCCTTCTTTGGGTGTATTCCAGTGCTCACTTTCCCTAGGGACCAATGTGAGTATTCTCCCCATGTTCATTTGTGGCTTAAAGCCCCTTTCCTTCACCTATTTACCTTCTGCTTATAGGACGTACGGCGTGTGCCTGGAGTAGCACCGACTCTTGTCCGGGCAGCATCTGAGACCAGTGAGAAACGCCCCTTCATGTGTGCTTACCCAGGCTGCAACAAGAGATACTTTAAACTGTCCCACTTACAGATGCACAGCCGGAAGCATACTGGTAAGTGTGTCTACCATCCAGCCTTGGTTCTGGCGGCCTCTGGGCAGTGGTGGTTCAGGCACTCGTGCTCCGGGCCAGGGGTGGATTACCTAATAAGCAAGGTAGGCACGGGCTTAATTGTGCTTATTTACTAATCTGTAGTGCGCCACATCAAAGATGTGTTGAAACCCAGGTGAAATTGTTCACTACAGATTAGCAAGTAAGCACAATTAAGCCCTTGCCTACCTTGCTTACTGTAAGCCGACGCATGCTGTGCTTACTGGTTAACCCGCCCATGCTCCTGGCTCTCACACTGCTAAGGCCACAGGTGCTGATGACAGGTAGTTTCTGGGATGGAAAGTTGGCATTGCTTTGCAAGGTTCTGGCCAAGGTGATGGAAGAGGCTGCAGGGCCATTTCGTGTCCTGTTTGTCCATCACCTTTCTCAAAGAAATCAGTAAATTGTGTTCAGGAAGGAGCAGGGTAGAGTGGTGGGAAAAACTGCGAGTATAGGATTAAAGAGACCTGGGTTTGAATCCTGGTTTCACCACTATGTGGTGGGAGCTGGCGCAAGTTACTTACCTCTTCGAAGCTCATTTGCTTCATGTGGAAAATGGAGATGACAATTAAACCAAACTGGATTAAAGGAATTACAGATAAAAAAGCATTTAGTAAAATGCCGGTATGTTGATTAAAACCAGTTGTCGTCAAGTCGATTGCAACTCATGGTGACCTCATGTGTATCAGAGTAGAACTGTGTTCCATAGGGTTTTCGGGGGCTGATTTTTCAGAGTAGCTTGCCAAGCCTTTCTTCCAAGGCTCCTCTGGGTGGACTTGAACCTCCAAACTTTGAGTAAGCAGCCGAGTGCATTAACTGTTTGCACCACCCAGAGACTCACCCTATGTCAATAGGTCTGGGTAAATGATAGTGTTACTATTATAATCCTATTAACATCTCTAAAGAGAGAGGAGCCAGGCTGGGAGTGCCATAATCAGGAGGTTTTTTTTTTATAATCCGGAGATTTTGAGAGGTTGATTTGGTGATGTCATCATAAGATTTAGGAAGAGACAATTCAAAGAAAAAATTTCACTGCTTGGGTTAGTAATCAACCAGATAGGACAGGGAAAACACATTGTAGGTTTTATTTTTATATCAATCTTAAAAAGAGAGTGAGAGATGATGATGTTTGATGATATGTCAAGGAAGACTGGGTTTTCCCCCAGGTCAGGCGGTCTGCCTCTGAGAAGAAGACAATTAGCCTGTCTGGTTGTTGGCCCCCTTGAGTGTGAACACCTGTTTCACAGATGTTTGCTCTTGGCCTGTGGGTCTAGATGGGAGTGTAGTTGAGTCTTCCCTCTAGGAAAACAGTGCAAAATCCATGTTTTCCCATAGGTGAGTGGTGACATTCTTTCCACAACTGAAGGACAGCTTCATTGTTATCGTTACCATTGTTATTTTATATACTGCTGACTTTGGTGTTGGGGAGCTACAGAGGCAAGCAAGCTGCTTTCCAATCTTGTTGAGACCATTGGAGTTTGCTAATTCATTCTGTCTGGAGGATGCAGTTCTGGCCTAAGCCTGAGTTTGCGCTCAGTAAGACCACATGCTTTGAGGCTAAAGATGAGAAAACTGGTGGCACGTTATGTTTTTACATAATACCCCAAATGGGATCATTTGAAAAGTATCTGTCAAGGTTTTGAGGAAAATGATAAATCAGAATTCTGCCTGGAAAAAAGCAATGGAATTCATTGAGGCAGATATGGTTGCAGAGACTTTTAATGGGAAAGAGGCTCTTAGAAAGCAGTGACGTTAGAGGTCTGTGTGAAGGGAGTCACTGAACAAGGCAGCCAAGGCCCCCAGACCTTCTGGAGCCTTTAAGAAGCTCTTCCTTGTAGGAGATGAGGATAGGCTGATATTTGACAATCTTGCAGCCCTCTTCTTGAAAGAATTCAATGTTTTCTTTTTTTTTAATACCGGTACAAACTATCACATTAAGTACTTCATACTAAATACTTTCTATGTTCCAGGCTATCTGCATGCATTATTTCATTGAACACCACCCCTGCCCTAATAATAATTATCCGATGGGTAGAATATTGTGGAATAGGACTCAGACTCATACCTTTTCACTCCATGTCACAGTCCCCTTCCTCCCAAGAGTTTATGGTCTGGTTGGGATCTAGGATATGCGCAAATGAAGAGACTAAGATAGTATGCATTAATATACTAAATCAGAAGCTGGAGGAGCTGAGGAGTTCAAAGGGTATCAATTTGAGCTAGGTTCATCTGAGAGGGTTTCTTAGAGGACGAAGGGCTTTGGTTAACCATTGAAGGGTTAGTAAGGTCAGGTAGAGGAAGTAAAGAATGAGCAGAAGCAGAAAAGGTAGAAAAGAAAACTGAATTGAAGTTGTCATCTTCTCCCGGTTGTAGAGTTGAAGCTTAAGGAACTGGGCTGGATAGATAGTTAAGAAAAGGCTCCTGCCTGTAGGAATTTCCAGCCCTTTGAAGAAGGTAGACCTGGACACAGCTCACCATATGAGGAGATATTCTGTAATAAGTGCTGTAATGAGGGAACAAAGAGGTTTAAATCTGAACGTGGAGTTTCTAAGAACGCATTGCAGAGAAAGTGGCATTTGTGAGAGAGGGGAGACTTTTGATGAGTAGAAGTGTCGGGATGAGGATGAAGGGCATTTGGGGTAGAGTCAACAGTGTGAGCAAAGTGGAAGAGGACTTAGGGAATGGTGAGAGTGTGGAGTAACTGGAATACAGATTAATCAGGGAAATAGAGGAGGTTACGAGGCTAGAAAGATGACTTAGGGGCCATCCTGCAACACAAAGACCTGACTGATCCTGGGATGCCTTGCTCCCCATCCCGGAATCCTGGTGACTCAGAATTCTCATAAGAAGATGGGAAGGCCCAGGGTTGCTCGGTGCTCTTGGGCTCAGTTCCCAGTATTTGGCTGAACTTTCTTTAAAGAGGACAGGGGTGGGGCTTTTCTACTCTGAGGCAGTAGATTGTGAAATCACACCATCATTACCATCACTAGGGGGGTGCAGGAGGTGCAGACCGCACTGGGTGACACTGTCAGAGGGGGTGCCACCACAATGACTGTCTATAAAATTTTGTGCAGTGTTTCAGCCAAAATTTATTATTTTTTTATTAAAAAATCCCTGTTGTTATAACAACAAAAACATTTTTCATAAGCCCAGCTTACATGTATCAATATGCCAGCTTACATGTATCAATAAAAGTCTATGCTAATTTACTTTTTGAGCCTTCTAAAGTGCTCTGGTCAGAGCTGTCATTATTACCCAATTACAATGACGCCTCGAATCACGCGCTGTTGTTTTCATTGCTGCTGGTGTTTTTATAGTTGCTGATTTTGTCACATGTTCTGGTGTTTTAGCTACAATATTGTGGTAGTTAGCATGGAGGGGGGTGACACCATGAGTTACCACACTGGGTCACACCAACCCTAGTGACACCACTGCATACCACTGTCTTCTCTCTGATAAAAGGCTACCGAAATCTTTCTACCCAATTTGGCTCCTGCTTTAACTTGAACATCTCATAACCATGGAGTTGTTTATGCTTGATTCAGGAATGAGATGTCCGTAGCAGAAAACACCAAATCTTTGGCCACAAAACATAAAACGCTAATTTCATGGGGCTGGCTCCAAGGCACATCTCTCCCAGAATTCTGCCTCAGACTCTGCCTAGGAGTTAAGACTTGTTTATTATTTGTTTAATTGTTCTCAGCTAATGTTTTTGGAACACCCCTTCTCTGCTAGGCTTTGGGTTAAGTTCTTTACAGGGATGACCTAGTTTATTTAATCTGTTCATAAATACTTTGAGGTTGCCATATTATTGGTCCCATTTCACAACAAGGAAACCGTGCCTCACCCACGTTAAGTGGCAGAGCTGGACTGGACTCTAGTGTCAGACTCTAGAGCCTCAGCTCCTGTTGACTTCTAACTTTGAAACTAGGAGCCATCCTTGTTCACCTAGCCCCCCATTCTATACTCATTGTCCGTGAGCATATGTACCAGAAAAAAGAAAAGAAAAATAAAACCCAAACCACATGCCATCAAATCAGTTTCTGACTCTTGACGACGCTGTGTGTGTCAGAATAGAACTGTGCTCGATAAGAGTTTTCAGTGGCTGATATTTCAGAAGTCCCCTCTAGGTGGACTCAAACCACCAACCTTTCAGCGAGCGCGTTAACCGTTTGTACCACCCAGGGACGCCTGAGCTTATGTACGGGTGGGCCTTTTATCTCACACTGCAGTAGCCATCGCCACCCTAAGAATCACTGCCCCAAGTGCCTTAGGCATCTTTGGACCCCTTCAATCTGGATAGGAGAAATCACCTTCCTTTAACAAGATCTCCATTTCCAGTATTGTTTTCAAATAGAATATGTGTCTTCCCCAAGGTGAGAAACCATACCAGTGTGACTTCAAGGACTGTGAGCGAAGGTTTTCTCGTTCAGACCAGCTGAAAAGACACCAAAGGAGACACACAGGTTTGTAGGTTCACTTCTCATTGCTGGCAGTTCTGTTTCCTTGGGTTAGGATTACTTAGATCATTCTTTTTTGTTGTTGTTGTTGTTGTTAAATATGGTTGAGAGGGTCGGCCATTTGTTCAATTTTTCCAATATATATGTATTTTAATTTGGGGGGATTTTTCTTCTCTTAAAAAAAAGAAAAAAGAAAGGAAGGAAAGAAAAACATCCCACATTTCTCCCTAAAACCACAGAACAATGAATTCCCACTAGCAGCTTGCTGGAAGATACAATGGGCATTGGTAAAGAACTTGGGTGGTGGGGAGCAGAATCCAACTTGTAGCATGTGATTCACTTTTTCTGTCTCTGACACAGCTGAGACATCCCAGCTGATGAGAAGCTGGACATTTGTGGTTAAGGAATGATTGTTCCTAAGATAGAAGCAGGTCCTCAAGGATTACTGTGCTGAATCCAGTGGTTCTTGCTGGGCCTGGGATATTGGGGAAATCTTAGGGAGAGGCAGATGTTGCAAACATGGCCCAAAATTCTAGGTTCCTCAGGCTGCCAGGAAGCAGACCTCATGGGCCTCACTGTTTCCCCACGTTGTTAGGGCTGTGGCTAGACCATCTCTGTCCATTTAGGTGTGAAACCATTCCAGTGTAAAACTTGTCAGCGAAAGTTCTCCCGGTCTGATCACCTGAAGACCCACACCAGGACTCATACAGGTAAAACAAGTGCGTAAACTTTTCTTCACATTTATTTTTCATTATTTTCTTTAAACTAATGTTGAATGAAGTTGTTTGTGAGAGATTGGAAAAGACTAGTGTAAAAGTTCTTGGCAGGTTTAGACTCAGTTGAGAGAAAAAGTGGTGCATGTTATTTTTAAATGATAACATTTTTAAGAAGGGGAGGGGGGAAGTACAGAGCAGGAAAGAGATGTGAGTAAAACTTGTTTCACAAGTATCAAGAATGAAAAAAAGAGAGAGAAGCTAGATCCCTATTGCCCCAAATAGTTGAATCACATTTTTATCACTTAGTTTGATATGGTAATCAGGCTTCCAAAAAAAAAAAAAAAAAGCAGCAGAAATTCTAGCAAACCAAACATTTATTCTGAGAGACCACATTTCCTGATATTCCTTTCAGAGAGCTGAATCCTTGCTCTGCTGCAAGTTAATGCCCCAGGAGCAGCCATGGTTTCTGCCAAGCTAATATCAGCGTGTGGATATTATTTCCTTCATACTAGTATCGAGAAGGACTAGGACACTCATTCACTGGCGGCTGAATGTTTTGGCTTCTCTGCAAGGCTGGTGTGATTCATAATGAATGAGTGCATACTTCGTGGCTTTTGAAAGAGGGGCCAATGTTTATGTCATCTCATTTTATCTTCACAACATCCTTGTAGGAAGAGTTGGTAGGCATGCTTTATCCCTGTTTTACAGATGAGGAGACTGAGGCACATAGCGATTAGATGACTTTTCTAAAGTCACAGAGCTAGTAAGTAGCAAACCCAGTTCTGTCTGCTCCCAGCCCACCATCTCCCACTGCCTTCCTTGCTGGAGAAAGAGCGTGGTTCACCCAGAAGCCCAGGGAGCAGAGAGACTCAAGAAGAGAGCCAAAGTCAACAAAGTCAGATGCCATTCAGAGACTGAGAAGGATGAAGACCAAGAAAACAAAGGGTTGGGATTTGCCCATTAAAATAGAGAAGGCCTTTGACAGCACAGCTGGAGGTGGGGTGGGGAGCAGGAACAGTAAGTGGGAGGCGAAGACAAAGATGACATTGTAAGCCCCTGTACAGTCCCAGATCCTCAGCCCGAACAGGCTGCACCCAGCAACAGAGTTGGTGCCTTGCTTCCCCTATTCAGGTGCCTTTCATGTCACATATGTCACTTCTTTGATTTAGTCCTGAGCTCACAAGTTGGTAGGAAAGAGTGATCATCCCTGCGCATACCTGCATAGGTGCGAAGTGACCTGTGTCATCAGGAGACTGTTTAAAGCTATATTTAATTGGCCTCCAGTTCTGACCCTGGGACAGTGTCTCACCTGGAATATTCTTCGGTGCTTGTCCTGACCAGTAGTTCTCAGAGAAGGCCTGGGACAGCAATATCCTGAGAAGATCCTCCAGGTGATACTGGGGTTGGCTCCTGTAGCATTTTTATTTAGGATAAAGCCATAGCTGTATTTCCATTAGAGCTAGGCCTGTGAGGTGTGATACAGGAAAGAGCACGGGCTTTGGAGGTAGACACACCTGCATTTGAGTCCTGCCTGGGCCTCCCTCTCGCCAGCTGTCCAGCCTCATCTATAGAGTGGTGATTATAGTGCTTCACTCACAGGGCTGTTGTAAGGATTACGTGAGGTAAGGTATCTGTGATGCTTAGCACAAGGCTTGGCATGTATTAGGCATTTAATAAATGCTAATTGTTTTTCCTACAGAGAATGAGGCTTGGGAGGAACTTCTGAGGGCTCCTTAGATGGAGAAGCCTTGATCTTTTGGCAAGCTTGTTAAAAATCTCAAACCCTTGCCTCAACTAGAATCTCCAGTATAACAAGGATTATACTCTGAGTAATACTTTAAGGTAAAAGAAACAAATAACATGTCAAACTGGTATTGGTATTTATTTAAAAATCTAGCCCATCCAGAATATCATCTATATCTGCGTGAAAGCCAGCTATAGTACTAGACAGCAATCAGTCAGTAATATCCAGGGTGAGGATCCTGAGACCCTTGCAGCCCAGTTAAGCTCAATTCTCTATTTACTGAGATAGCAGAGGGGAAGCTTTTACACAGTTCACAAGCCATTCTAACGGCAGAGGTTGAAGCCAAATTTTTTCTCCACTTAATTAAGTATGAATTGCATAGACATTTCCACTAATTAGACTCATTCCTTCTCTCCCACTTCCCGAGACTTCTGACTTAGCAAGATTTCACAATTTTTGAAATATTTCAATACTTAGAGCCCCAGAGGTGCTGCCATTTCAAGGCTGCCTGTGAAGTGAGCCCAGTTCAGGAGTTGGGGAAAGAACTATGGGGAATCTGGAATGGGTGCCTTGTGGTGGTTTAACTCAGGCCTTTGATAATTGAATTTGTGCCCAGTCTTTTCTGCTGTCAGTGTCTCTGACTGGTGATTGTGTCAACAGGTGAAAAGCCCTTCAGCTGTCGGTGGCCCAGTTGTCAGAAAAAGTTTGCCCGGTCAGATGAATTAGTTCGCCATCACAACATGCACCAGAGAAACGTGGCCAAACTCCAGCTGGCGCTTTAAGTGGTCCCACCTGGGGACAGCTCTGTGTCCCAGGCAGGACACTGTGTGAACTACTTTCAAATCTGACTTTTAAATCCCTCCTTACTCACCTCTCTAAGAAAGAATGGCAGTTGATCTTCTTCATCCCAACTTCCAAGACAAGATCCCTGAACTACTGGATTGTTCCAGGTTTGCCCGGAGGCAGTTGGTCTCTGCTTTGCTGACTTTTAGTTGACTCACCAAGCCCTGGTGAAGTGGCTGATGACGTCCAGTTAGTTAAAAGCCCATCATCCTTAGGTCTGGATTTTCCTCTGTAAGAAGAGCCATTGTTGATAGTGTTCTCCTACCCTCCCCTTTCCTTTAACATGCATTTTCACTAGGAATGGAGTCATTGTACCTTTTTCCATCATGGAATATTTATAGGCCAGGGCATGTGTCTGTGTCTGCTAATGTAAACTTTGTCATGGTTTCCATTTACTAACAGCAACAGTAAGAAATAAATCAGAGAGCAAGACATTGGGGGTGAGTCTCGTCCGACATTCCAGAGGTCAGGCAGGCTCCTAACCTGGAAGGCAGGATGTAGTTCTACCAGGCAACTTTTAAAACCCATGTGTTTCAAGCAGCTGAAAAAAGGATCAGAACTGACCGGTACTTCTGTACAGAAATCTTCCCATTCAGTTAATTCCATTTTAACATTAGCACAATGCTCTTAAAAAACACTGTTGGAATCTCTGAGATTCTGTTTTATTTTTGTCTTTTTGGGGGTTGTAATCATTTGCATCTTCAGAGATGTACATATCTCCTCACACAAAGGAAGTGGAATTCAGTTTCATCATTTGGGGCATCCTGGCTTTAAGCTGTAAAAATTGAAGTGACTCTGAAGAAAATAGGGGCTGGTCCAGGATCTGCACTGGTAAGACTATTCTTGAGTAACTTAAGTAACTTTGGGTCTACAAGTATATGTGAAAAAAAAAAGACTTACTAGTGTGAGGAAATCCATTGTTTAAAGGTGGTTGGGTGTGTGTGCGTGCATGTTTTTTTTTAAGGACTTTATTATTTACTGTTGCTTGAAATTGTTATGTAAATATATATATATCTGATAATGACTTGCTCTTTGATAACTAAACTTAGGAAATGTATAAATACTAGATGCATCACTGTTTGGGTGTTGATCTTACAGCATATTGATGATAACACTAAAAATGTAACCTGCATTTTTCACTTCGCTCTCAATTAAAGTCCATTCAAAAGGAAAGTGACAAGATTCTATCAGCTGTATTGTGTATGACAAGAATTAGATTTCAAATCCTGGGGCCAGTTGTGCCTCTTTTAAACAGGTAAGAAAATGCCACCTTTGATGACCACTCATAAACCATTCATGTCCTGACCATAATTTATTTCTGTCTGTTGAATCTCAGTAGGGAATTATCCATCCTAGAAGCAGCAGAGAGTGCCGCCTTCATGCTGTATCATGAAGTGATTGTGTTCTTGCTGTGACTGGATGGGTTTGTGGGTGGTGGGGTGGAAATTGTGTTTTAGAGTTCTATTTTAATCAGGTTACCATTGCAAGACATCACTTCTTATTCCAGATCAGCAAAAGAGAATAGAGAGATGCTAATGAGAATTGGTCTTTTGAAAAGTTCACAGCTGTATCACTGGGATCAGAAGGGCATAGACTGAACACCAAGTACAACTGAATTTACAACTGTAGTTGCTATAAATCAGCTCAGCAGGTTGGAAACTGCTTAGCCCTTCAAGGGCAGCTGAGTGTGAAAGCAAAGATCTCCATTATCTATAAACTATAAACTCTCTTTCTGGTTCTGGTGTATGGTTTTTCAATTTGTAAATAATGAGATTAATTTGGGGCTGCCCCTCTCAGCCCTGATATCTTGAAGCTTCTGTGCACATTCCAGAGTTCATTTCTTTATTTAAAATATATCTTCAGCAGAGGAAGCTCAGCCACTGAGACTCCTTTCCACACTGAATGCAGCTTGAAATTGGGGCAGTAAAAAGCCAGTGTCCTGAGGCCCCTCTGATTTTGCATCTGGCTCTTGCATCACTGTTAATTATAGCGAGTCTGGTGACTCATTTGTATCAGCCATTTTTATCTTTTCCTGCCAGAAGACGGCATTTCTCTGGAAGAAGCTCAGGACAGGCATGGCAAACGTCAGCAAGTCGGAGAGAGCCAGGTTTCACAACAAGAGCACAACCGCGTAGTTCCAACTGCAGGATGAAGATGAGAGATACTCAGAAGACCTCAGCTGCTTAACTTGCAGTTAAGGTCATGGGCTTTGGAAAGCAGGCCAACCTGGGTTCAAATCTTAAGTCTCCAGTTTTCTCATCTGTGACGTGGTGATAAAAGAGTCTCTGCCTGATAGGGTTGCAGTAAGAATTAAGTGAAAAAAAGTATGAAAACATCTCTTTTTCCATTTGCCATTGAGTCCATTCTGATTTATGGTGACCCCATGTACGTCAAAGTAGAACTGTGCTCTATAGGGTTTTCAGTGGCTGATTTTTCAGGAGTAGATTGCCAGACTTTTCTTCCTAGGAGCCTCTGGGTGGACTCGAACCTCCAACCTTTCAGTTAGCAGCTGAGTGTGTAAACTATTTTCACCACTCAGGAACATGAAAACATCTAGTACATAACAAGTGCTCAATAAGCTCTAGCTAGAAAGATTATTACCCAAGAATTCACCTGCTAATTTCTTTCACCTCCCCAGCCCCCACTTCCTCTTGTAGTGTGTGCGGCCACTCTTCCCAGTTTAGCTCTGCAAAATGACAAACAAGTCCATTCCCTTCTATCCCAAACCAAAGTTAAGAAGCAGTAAGACTTATTGCCAGCCCCTCTTGAGAGACCACTTCTGTTTGCTTTGCATCTTTTGCAAAGCACTCAGTGAGCATTGAGTGTGTTTCTGAGATCCACGGTGTTGATCAGAGGCAGACTGTCAGGAGTCAGTTGGCGAAAGCTGGTCAGTAGTTGCTCTCTGTAGCCCAGGCTAGAGACTGTATTAGGTGCAATGGTCAAAATTTGTATTTTTTCCATCTCTGTTTGTTGTAGCACCTGGTCCAGTGTATGGTTCAATGTCCTTTAAAGGCTTCCTCCAGCCCCATCTCCTTGTTGGATCTCCCAGACCATTCCAGTCACATGAGCCCTCTCATCTCTCAACTTCTCTAGCACTCAGAGTAACCAATCCAGTTGCTGTCAAGTCGATTCTGACTCATGGTGACCCCATGTATGTCAGAGCAGAACTGTACTCCATAGGGTTTTCAGTGGTAGATTTTTCAGAAGTAGATCTCCAGGCCTTTCTTCTGAGTTGCCTCTATGTCCCATAGGGTGTTTAGTGGCTGTTTTTTCAGGAGTAGATTGCCAGACCTTTCTTCGTAGGAGCTTCTGGGTGGACTTGAACCTCCAACCTTTTGGTTAGCATCCGAGTGCATTAACCATTTGCACCACCCAGGGACTAGCATTCAAAGTATATAGCATTAAGTAAATATCTTATATCGGTCCAGTGCTTTCCCGTCTTATTTGATCTTTAGGACTATTCTGTAAGATAGGGTATCATTATCCCCACTTTACAGATGGGGAAACTGAGGCTTAGTGGAAATAAATGGCTGAAGTAAACCTTAGACTCTGGTCTTATGTATCAAAATTTACTACCAAAACATGCTTGCTGATGTAGACTTACTGTACACTCTGCTTAATTGTTTCTTACCTGTAAATCATGTCTTCCCAACCAGAGTGTGAGGTCCTAGGGAAGGAACGGAGCTTGTCCCTTTCCTGTGTTACCTACATCAAGGCTTCTGAACCATTAGTGCCCATAGAAATCACCTGGAGAATTTGTGAAGCTGCAGATTCTAATTCAGAAGTTCTGGGGCATGGCCAGGGTTCTACATTTCTAATATGCTCTCAGAAGACGCCTACTCTGCTGGCCTGTAGATGACACGTTACCTAACAGAGACCTATAAGGCAGGCTTAGCAAATACCTACTGAAAGATAACTGATGAGATTTGCACTTGACAATCCTGAGAGTGGCTGATGAAAATGGCCCAGGGCTCTGCCCATGAGGCTTGGTAGGACTGTGCTGGTCAGGACAGTCAAGCTGAATGCCCCAAGAAGAACTGCATGTGTGGGCTCGGGTGAATCTGCCCACACAGAGGTCTGTTTTCAAACACAATCTGCCTATCCTCTGTCAGTAACTTTCCACAAGCCAAGGGACCTTGCCAAGTAAGATCAAGTGCAGTAGATTGTCGTACTGCATCTGACTTAGTCACATATCTCGGAGTGGGCCTCTGCCTCCCTGATACCCTGTGTTCCAGCATCCATAAACTGAAATCTTGCAGCTTTGGAGAGCGTTTGTTCCCTGTAAGTCAGCAGCCTCACTGGCAGACAGGAATTTCCCACTTACCCTCACTGGGAACCACTTGCTTAGTTCTGTTGGGTACCGAAGGGAGAAGATGTCTTCTGGAGCCCTGTCTTCCCTACAACGTGTTTGCTCTGTTGCCTTGGGCAAACAGAATCTATGGTAACTGAAAGATGTGTTGAGAAGAGAGAGGTGTGTGTGTGTGTGTGTGTGTGTGTGTGTGTGTGTGTGTGTAGAACAGTGGTTTCAATGAAGAGCGACCCCTACCCCTGGACATTTGGCAAGGCCTGGAGATATTTTTTAGTCATGATGGGCCAGGGTGGGGGTGCTCCTGGCATCGAGTGTGTCAAGGCCGGGGGTGCTGTTAAACACCCTACAACACAGGATAGCCTTACAACAAAGAATTATCCAGCCCAAAATGTCAACAGTGTCAATGTTGTGACACCCTGGTGTGGAAGAGGGGAGTCATGTTCCACAGACAGAATTGCCACCAGAACAGGAGGAGACAGAGAACAGTCCTTGGCTGGCCCAAGAATTGCTGTAAGGTTCCTCCTTAGTCCTCTTTTCCAGATTAACTGACTCTCGGGAAGGCATTATTCTTCCCAGCCTCACGGCAGGCAAAGTGTCTAATAGGAATTTTTCACAGGTGAATGGGTAAGA